ATAAAAGTAGTAATGAAATATGATAAGATTCGGAAAAATATTATTGAAGTGCGATCTCATTAACAAAGACATAAGCATTAGAAACTTGAGTTTAGAGGGTAAACATAAGTTGTCTTGAAAGAGAAAAGTACGACTTGACATATTCTTGCATTTTTTTTTTTTGAAGTATATTCCGAATTTTATTCCTCAAGAAAAACAATATTATAGTATTTATTACGAGCTGCCTATGATGAATAACTAGAGTCGAGTTTTTTTTTTTCTTATTTTAAATCCTTCATATTGAAGTATTGAAATGTTGATTCAATAACTTAATGTTTTTTATGTACTTCAATAAACTTTTGTGCGTTTTATGTGTAAAAATGCCGAATAAAATATATATTAAGAATAGAAAAACCAATCATTCATCATTCTAACTGATTTTGAAGAGACTATTTTCTTTCTACATTTCCTTTCCTCTCTCAGAAACCGATTCTTGAATTACGATACAATTTACTTTCATCTTGTCTTTTTAATAGTTTTCTACTGATCAATTATCGTAAACAATATTTGCAAAAAATAGACGTTTCCAAAGATTAAAAAAAATGTATAGTTTGTTTATATTTATGATAACATGTTCACGCATTTTGAATACTGAAAAAGAATATCATAAATTATGAGTAATAAAATAGTTTTAGATTTGGTTTGTTGTCTCATTATTAACGTTTTCTGACACAACACTCGTACAAATTTTTCTATTGTGACTAGGTTTTTTTTTGTTTAAGTATTCTTGTTTGTATCTTTTATTTGTTTTTTTCTTCACTTCATGAAAAATTCAAACTTATGAAAAAGAAAAAGAAACAGTCGGTGAACATTTACTTAACATTATCTATGAAATCTCAATGAAATAGTTAACTTTTATTTTGTTATCATTATCAAATTGTATCTATATAGTGGCTGTCAACATTATCCTACCCATGGATAATTTTATTTTGTGTTTATCTCAAAAACTAGATGAACTAGAATGATCTGATTTTCGTCAAATTACAGTCAATAGTCTCTAATATACTAATAAAAAAAAAAATTCAGGCCAATCCTTTCATCTATTTAGTTTTTATTGACGATGCAATCACATTATGCTGTTTTTCATCCTTTTAAGATTATCCGACTCCATATTTTTGGAAACTACTGCGTGCCTGTTCTACTTCGAAATAGTTTTTATGAGACATGACTCAATTGAGCAAATTATACTTTATATAATGAGCATTTTTTATTCTAATTTTTGAGTATATTTTTAAAATTAGTGTTTTTTTGACCTAAAACGGAAATTTTCAACAGAAACGTAACAAAAGAAATTTCTCTTTTCATTTGATGCCTATCCAATTTATTGTTGAATATAGCATCAGGAAGAGCACTATCAATTACACGATTTATTCTATTTATCTGGTTCACGTAGGTTTCGAGATACAGTAAGGTGCAAAAGTTTTTGTCCTGAATGTCTCAGGTTTCTTTCCACATGAATACAATCAATGGTGAAATTAAATATGCATACAGATAAAGCATAGTATATGGTATAAAAGCATTACAATTAATAGTTAATCCTTCCTCTCTTTGAGTTACTCAAAGCTAAACATCAGGATTTCATCGATTTAACTAAATGATTTAGAGTATTTAAGTCTATTTTGTTCCTTTCTTCGCGCAGAAAACTCTTGAGTTGATAGATATTTGATGGTTTCTGCTTCTCGACACGATATTTGATGATCGACCAGGGGTTCTCCATCAGTCTAACGTCGGGGATGCTCGGCAGTGTCAATCAGTTCGGGCAGTTTCGTGTGTAACAATTCTGTAGCTGTTCATCCTCAATGTCTGGAGTTATTGTTTTAATGTTAATTGGTAACGTTAACTATTTTTGCCGCCTGACATTATGAAGAAGGTGGTTTTGGACGTAGTGAATACCATCTGTCATATTTTTGAATCAATCATAGTTGATGAGGACTTCAACATAGAAACCATCATGAATCATTATCTTCTGTTTTTTTTTCTTCGTGATTATTAAACCTCAACGCTTGGATTCTTCCACCATCAGCAAGAGATGTTTCTTAATATTTAGTAGCTAGCTTTCTTGGTAATTATAGGTCGGCTATAGTCCTCGTCTTTGTGTTGAATTACCCGTCGGACACGTGTATCTTTGTGCTTCTGTGTCAACATCAGTTTTGTGTAGGACAACATCTTCTGCAAACCATTCATTCGAACTGCCCTATGCCATCCATCAGGACGGGTGAGGACCTTGGTTCTGTAGAAGTTTTAGAGCGGATTCTTTCACTCTTATCTTGCTCTTTCATTGAATTCATTGGTTGACTGTCTTGTCATCGTCAGTAGTCATGCTGCAAAGTCAACTGTGATGCCATCTATCCTCAATTTTGCCTTGCTCTTTAATCTCGATATCGTTCTAGTTGATAGTCTGGATAAGAACGATCATTCAATGAGCAACAATTTTAGGAAATCGATGAGTGTTGTTTCAGTAATATAAAAGAGTTCATGGTTTCGTTTTCAGAAAAAACAGAATTCTATTTTCTAGGCATATTTTTCAATTCAAGTACACTTCCGATAATTTGTGACAAACACAACTATATTTAGATCTTTCCTCATCTTCTACGAAGTTCTGAAAGAATCTCTATGAAACCTACCAGAGATATGATTTTAGAAAATTGCATCATGGTAGGAACAAAGACCTTTTCATCTAACTGTATATACAAAAGAAAATTATCTATTGGTTGAAAATCTTTGAAGAAAATTCTTTAACTAACCAAAATTCTTCGAATACTTTTTTCATGAAATATTCATAATTAATTTTTACTAAGTAATCAATGTACTTAGAGTCATAATTTATGTATGACGTGTTCAGTTAAGTCAGTAGAACTATTTGTTGATGGATCAAATATAAATCTTTCATTATGATACATGGTATGTTAGAAAAAATATTTTTGTACTTGTTCAACTTAAGAAATATGAAAGTATTGTGTTGAATTTTTTTGTCGTCAAAAGATTGTTCAAAAACTAATGACGCTCTAGTGTGATATGATTAAAAAGAAAGTTTCGTTTATAATTAGTATTAGTCTTATAGTTTTTTCTTCATAAGGTGAAGTTTGATCTAAATCATCTAAAGTTCAGTTTATATTTTTGAATACTTTTGTTTCTTTGATGTTTAGTTTGTTCAAATATAGTATTAATACTTAATGAGTATTATAATGAAGATGAAGAACATGAGAATCATATGATAAAAACAAATTAAAAAAAAAATAAAAAATATTGAGAAAGTAATTATTGAAAATAAATAAAACTTATTTATCCTGATCGTCGTTTAGCAGGTAAAATGAATTTGATTGCTAATATTTCATTTTTATTATGTATATTTTCAGATATGAAGATATATTCCAGACATTTTCGAATAAATATTTGAATATTACTTGATATGGACTGAAAGAATGTGAGTATAAGAAAAGTAAACAAATTAAATTTATACTTGGATCTGTAACAATCATTTATCTTCAAAATATACATAGAGAAATAGAATTTAAAACAGTTTATTGATGAACCCGTTATTCCCTGCTGAATTATTTTTGATTCATTCGTAGAAACTATCCATTTAAAATGACAAAGTACTATTTCGAGGTTAGTCTCAAAACTGTGTAAAGCCTTCAATAAGCTACAAATTCATAAAAAATACAGTTTCTTTTTCTCATTCTTTGACTAAGATTTATGATTCGGAAAAAGCGTGAAAATTGTTAAATTTTTTTAATAACATTTAGTTACACACATTGATTATTAAAGTGTTTATGAGATTGATCTATAGTACTATGGATATATTCTATTTACAGAGTAGTTTTTCAAATATTTCTTGATTACAGATATGAAAACAATATTTTTTTATCATAACTTGGATTATTTTTGACTCATTTCTAGTGAGTCACATGGAAAATAGTTTTTCTAGAATTATTTTATATTTCATTATAAACTCATAAATAGGACGATCTTCATTCTAAAAATTTCATGAGAATGGATAATCAGTCAAAAAGCATTTTATGACAATTTTTAAATAATATTTTATTGATAAAAGAGAGAAATCTGTACTTGCTGATATGGTGTTATTGTTGAATGATATCTTAAGTGATATAGAATTAAAATCAGAACTAGCAAATATTCTCAGAAATGACTTATCTTTCGAAAAAATAATTTATGATAAGTAGATTTCCACGTTTATATATATAGAATAACCATATAGTTACGAAAACCTGTAAAAAAGATCGAATTAATAACTAATTCAATGTTTATGTCATTTACGATCACTGTGTTATTTTTAGTTCATTCTGCATCTCTACTTGCCAAAATTTAGCAACATCAATGTCATAATTAGTACCTTCATAAGCTATTTCCGTAGTTGACTCAACACCAACTCTACATAATTAATGGTAGAAGATCAAAAGTTATATATAAAATCTTAAAACAATTTTATTAAGGAAATAAATTCTGTGGTGTTGTTCAAAATATCTTACAATCATTTATGATATTGATGAATCTTGGTTTAATGATAAGCATGAATATCTTGAATATTTTCATTCTATTGTGACATTTGAATATCCTCATCATGTGATATGAATTTATCAAGTTCGAACTTAATTGAACAATTTCATGAGCAATTGTATACTATGGATGCATATGATTTTGCTTGGTATTATATTTAATATGAACATATAATATTCGATTGATGATGATGTTTTGTAGAAGAGAAACTGAAATAAAACTAATTTGACTCTATTTTGATGATAATTTTTGGTATTAAATAAATTTTCTTTATTTTGTGTATTCAAAAATATAATTTGTCTAATTGTATTACTCATGACATTGAATTTTATGTTTTTTTTTATAGAATAAAACATATGTAAAATTTAAAAAAAATGAATAGATTCATTATTTTTTTTTGATTTTAGAAATAGAAAAAAAAAAAAACAACAATAAAAATAATTATGAATGCTATTCGTGTACAAGTACATTTGAAATATATATTTGATGATAATACATCAAAAAAATTCCATGATTTTTGGTATGCTTTTGAACCATCGAAATTGTTAACTATTAATGATATAATTGAAGATATTCGATTAAATTTTTTAAAAAATCAAATATCTTTATCAGTAGAAGAAAAAGATGAACAGACATTTATATTGAATCTTGATGATTGTCAGTTATTACCATTTACTTCTAGTCAAATTTTACGAGACAATGATCATCTTACGTAAGAAAATTATTTTTTTCACATTAGAGATGGGATCGGTTCAGTATCTTTTTTTACATTATAAACTAACTGTCTGTTTTTTTTTTAGTCTTATGCCATTAAAAAAATATAGTTTACACAAGAAATCATTTCAAGATTCAGTTAATTTTAATTTGTCTTCATCAATTTCTATTGAACATCCACCAATTTTATCTGAAAACAATCATAAACGACAACGTATTGAATCTGTTGAGCAAAATATTCCATCAGAATCAACAATAACAATTACAAAACCTATTGAAACTATTGATGAACAATCATGTCAAAAGAAAATAAAAACTAAACCAACTGAAAATCAAGTTTTTATTTCACCAATAATTCAATCGATACCTGAACCACTACCAGTGATTCAATCGACACCATCAATATTAAAAGAATCAATTACTGAAAAAGAAATTACTTCAGAATCACCATTATCACTTTCCTCAAACAATGTTCGTATTCGAGAATTGAAATCAAAGACACCAACATGGAAATCACAAACACCATCAATCAAAAGCACTGTACAAGGTAACACAATGATAATACCTTACATTATTTGATTATCGTTTATTGTAGACAAGACACATATTCGATTCGATTCTGATAGTGACGAAGAATCATTACAGCAAACACAAATTACTAATGAAAAGTATACAACAACAGAAACAATACCACTAGTCAATGATAATAATAGTTCAATAAGTATACAAACTATTCCAACAGTAATATCAACAGATAGGATTAAAACAACAAATGAAACAGAAACTAAGAAAAAAACGGTTGATCTTCTTTTTGAAATGAAACAACATAAAAGTCTTGCTGAGAGACAAGCTAAAAAAATTCAACAACAATTCGGTAGAAAACGTGTACAACATAGAAAACGAGCATTAGATTATTTTTCAATGGCAAATTTTGTTGATCGAGCATTTGGTCTGGATAAAAATGAACTTTTAGAACAGACATCACCAAATGGATATCATTCATCATCTTCTACTCCACAAGTAAATAAAAACAGTTTACTTTACAAAAAAAAAAAACAAAGAAAAATTCTTTTTTTTTTTCCCAAGACTTTACCAACATCATTTAATAAGTTAGCTCGGTTACCACTTGTTGCTGAAGCCATTGAAAATAATGACAAAATGTATGATCTTTATCCACCAGTCACACAATGTCCTTCAATTCAAACACGTATAGCTTTCAAATTACTTGAATTGGGTGAAGATTTTTGTCCAAAAATGTCAACATTTAAAGAAGGACTCGTGGTTGATGTTAATCAAACTACCGGTGAATTAACTATTCAATTTGATAAACCATTTCAAACAGTTTTTGATCAACCATCGAAATTCTATTCACCATCAGAAGAACAATCAGAAGAAAATTTAACAACAGTAAATTTAATTTTTGTACTATTTTGTTTTTGAATACATATGTATTTTAGATTGTTATACCATTTTCTGATCTCAATTCGGTTCGACTATTGACAACATCGAATAACATCATTACAACATAATGTTTAAATAGATCTAGTTTTCTATCTAATATATTTCTTTTCTTTGTGTGTCTTTCTAAATAAACTTTGATAATAAAATCAAGTATATAAATACATCTATTCGTCAGACATTTAATCTACTTGACTTTTACATGGCTCGAAATTATGCTCAGGATTTATAATCCTTCCTTTTTTTTCTTCTGGTGTTGTTTTGACTATTGCCATCATCATAAAACAATGAAATAATTCGATAATAATTATTTTATCTAATCTTTAAATACATAAAGACAAATAATATTTAATATTCGTCATTATTTTTTGTCTTTATCATGAAAAAAAGTGCTTTGTAATTAAAAAATATATACAGAAGACAAACCATAACTAAGGTAACCAGACCAACATACATATACATCTGTGTTGATTTTATATTCTTCTATTCTCTTTTCTTTCACTGGTTGCAACATCTTTTTTACTTTTGTCGTTAGTTTCTTCCTTTCAACAAAAACATTCCTCTTATATTTTGTAACTAAAGACACACACACGGTTACTCTTGAGGAAACAAAAGGAAAAAAAAAAGAAAGTATTATGAAACCGGCACGAGTATAATCTGAAATGAAAGAGAACACAAGAAAAAAATGGTTTTTCTTTTTATTTTAAACGAAGAACTTGAGAAATACACTATTCAAAGAAAAAATGACAGAATACTGCCGCAGGAGAGACAGCGAATAAGAGAAAGAAATTATTGTTGAAGGTAAGACATAATAAAAAAAAAAAGAAATGAACAATTCAACACCATCACTACATTCAAACACATAAGTTTTTCATGGTTGTTGTCGAGTTGAAGTAAAAATTTTGTGAAACCTCATCGCTTAGAAAGAACGAGTAATGCAGAAGGTTAATTATATCGGATTGAGTAAAGAGAAAAAAGAGAAGAGAAAATAAAGAACCAACATTGAAATGTAAAATTAATTTTTCATTTTCTACTTAGATTACTATGTCAAAGAATCTGGATTCATTTACTTGACAACAGTGATTGAGTGAGTGTAAAAAGAAAATACAAAAAGATACCCTATGGCTCGTGTAATTACCAATAATAATGGTAATACATCGTTACCAACTACAACACCATTTATGGATCGATTATCACATTCAGTTATTAAGGAAGCATCAAAAAGTTTGTAAGTTTTTTTTTTTTCGTTTATAATTATTTTTGTAAATATGATTAAATAATATTTGGTTTTTATCTTAGGAGATATTATATTGATGTAAAACGTCGTGAAAATGCTTTTGTTCTCAATCCTAATTCTTCAGCATTGAATTCTATACCGCTTAAAGCAGTATGTTGAGAAAGAAAATTATAAATTAAACACAGGTTCCTTTTTCTTTTTGTGTTTTATTTAGAGATTTATGTATGGAACAACAAAAGAATATCCTCCACTTTATGGTTCCTGTCATTCAGATAATGATCTTAAAGTTTATTTACGTACTTTTCAAAAACAACAAAAACAACATCATGTAATTTATATTTTTCTTTTATTTACATTGATACTTGAAATAACAGTATATTAATATTTCTTAGTCATCATCAAGTAGTCCTGAAAAACAATTATGTCGTGATGAACTTAATTTTCATATGCGTACATATAAATATTCAGTAAATATGTAAAGAAATATTTATATTAAATTATTTCAACTAATATTTTTAGCCACGAGAAAATCAACAGTTTGCTGAACTTCGTTTAAGACCAACGGTACGATCAAGTTCATCACTTAGTCGGTAAGTTTCTATTTTTTTTTTTTTTTTTTATTATAGATATAATTGCATGTTGAATTTTTATTATAAATTAGAACAACAAGTCTTGAATTTCAAAAACGAACGTCGAAATCCGCATCGAAACTTTCACGTCATGAACAAAATCAATTAATTGATAATACAGCAAATATACTTGCATCAATGATTAAAACACGACGATCAATTTATGAAAAACATTTATTATCACAACAAGTAAAACATTGTGTTGAAGAGAAAACAAAAAGGACTTCATAATAAATTATATATTGAAATAAATTTAGACACCGGCAGTTTATGAATCACGAAATGCAAACCCTTCTCCACGTCAAACAGAGTAAAGATTGATTAAATAACTCAAAATATTTTATTCATCTATATTTTATTTATAGTGATCAATCTAATGTACAAACAGCTCCGCTAACTTTACCTAGTCCATCAACAAATGTAAGACTTGCAACAACTACTCAACAACCTAAAAAACCAAAACGTAGAACTTTAAATGTTTTTGCAAAAGCAGCATCTATTGTACGTATATGAAAAAAAAAAGATTAATCTACATTAAAAACAAAATGTTTTACTTCGTTTATTTATATTTATTAAAGATGCATGAAGCAAAACCGATCAGTAAAGGTATTCTATGTGAATATACAGTATCAGTTACAACAGGAAATTGTAATGGTGCTTCAACAACTGCACCTATTTACATAAAATTTTATGGAACAAATGGATGTACGGATTTTGAATCTCTTACCGATTCTGAAACACATCGTGTACCATTTTTAAAAGATCAAACTGATGTATTTACTGTTAAAACATATCACGTTGGACAATTAGCTGGAATTACAATTGGACATAATCAAAAAGATATGCGTAAGTATTTCGATTGTCATTCATTTTTTTTTTCTAGCTTATGGACTTTGTTTGATATTTTCCTTTTTTTTTTTCTTTTGCTGTTTAGGATCAAGTTGGTTTTTAAATAAAGTAGTTGTTAATGATCCAATACGTAATGTAACTTATAATATTTCGTGCAATGCTTGGCTATCGAGTAAATCAAATGATCAAAAGACTATGCGTGAATTTGAAGTGGCTTCAACGATATCACATAAAAAATCGATTGATGCAAACGGTATGAAAAAAACTCGCCTACTCTCTTAAGTCTGTAATCTGAATAAGATTTTACAAAGATTACCGAAATCTCTTCTTTTTTTAAACTAACTTAAGTCTATTTTTACTGCAAGAAGAAAGAAGATATATTGAAATGAAATGCTTTCGGGACTTACTAATCTAGATTGTTCTTCGCATAAGATTTAACGTAATAATAGTCAGATGAATCTGTTTAGAACATCAAGATGAAATAGAAAATCAATCGGATCATTCCTCAACAACAACGGAAGATACCGTGAGATCTAATATGATAAGTCCAAGTCAGAATGGTCAGTTAATTGGCCATAAACAAACTAACAACCATAGAAAACAACAACATGTATCGATTGATCGAACAACAATTGCTAAAACACAAACATCACTAACTACAACTACAAATCATCATTTTCAACAACAAACAACAACAAAAATGGATTCATATATTAATCGTGATGAATTTAGTCCTCCACCGCTTCCAAAACCTCGAAGTCGTTCACCAATTCTTTCTCGAACACCACCTATAAATAGTGATAATGAAGATAATCTTGCTAATCATAGTCGTTCACCAACTCCACCATCATCATCAGTACTTGATCAATCACGTATGAAATCTGTTTTTGATCGTAAAACAACACAAAAAACAGATGAAACAACAAACGAATTATTTGAACATCATTCAACAGATTATGATCGACCACCAGCTCGATTTGAAAAACGTAGGTCACCATCATCTATATCACCCGAACGACCAATTAAAAGTAACGAGCAAACAAATGAAAATGATGTATATGACTTTTTTCAATAAACCTCTTTTTTTTTTTCGTCTACAATTCTCTTTAGAACAATTTTTTTGCTTTTTTAAAAAAAAAAAAAATTTTTTAAATAAAAAAAAAAAAAAAGAAATCGCTCTTGTTTTTTTTAATGCCGGCTGGTATCCAAATTAACTTGCAATTAATCACTTCAATTGCCTCTTCTTCAACATTCAACACAACATAAACTTGCGATCTAGTGTTTGTATGTGAAGATGATCATAGCCAGACGTCTATATATATATATATATATTTATCGATTAGAGAATCGTATATATATATATATGAGCAAAACAAGACAAACAATTTGATATATAAACATTGAAAAGCAATTTTCTGCATTCGAAATTATAATACACATATATATACAAAAATGATGTTCTCTTCTTTTGTTTCTTTACTTAATTAATTGGTGAATGATCTTTAGTCTTTTGTGTATTGTGATCATTTTTTTAGAATATTGCGCGTGACAATTGTCGCCTGTTGAATAGTAATAAGAGATAGATAGACAGATAGATATATGCATATTTATCCTAAAACACGAACATATTCAATCGATTGAAATAGAAAAATCAAATAAGTTCAAGAAAAACTTATTCTTAATGATTGAACTATTAAAAAAATATTTAAATAAAATTGCTTTCTATTAGTCCCTAAAGAAGAGAATTGAGTTTAATAATTAAATGGAAGTTGACTAACAAAATGTGTTTACTAAAGTGTAACGAAATAGATAGATAAGATGTTTCTCTAGGGATTAGTCTTTCTAATTAAAATGACAGATAGATAGATAGACAGACATTACAATCTGCCAAGTGTTTATTGACAGAACACACACACACATATACACACTTACATCATTGAAATATATTTATATAAGTAAAATGAATGAAGGCAAAAAAAAAAAGAAAAAGAAAGAAAGTATTTCGTTTATATTATTGTCGATTATTTGTTCGATGATTACTATCATCTGATAATGATGATCTTGATGATAAATTTGAATGATTTGATGGTGTTGACCATGGTTGTAAATTTTGCAAAGCATTTAAAGATGCACTTGCATATATTAATGAATTATTATTATCAGTTGATATTTGATGAGATGATGGTGATGGTAATTTTGGACTTGATGATAATGAATGATGATGATGAGAACTTGTTAATACAAGACGATTTGCTGCTTGTCGTTCTTGTTCACGTTCTTCAGCTGTTTGTCGTCGCCATTTTGTTCGACGATTTTGAAACCATGTCTAGATTTTTTGTTTTTGTTCAATTAAAAGTGAAAATATAAAAAAAAAAAGAAAGAAAGAATTTTCACGTACTTTTACTTGTGCATCTGTCATTTTTAAACCTTTAGCTAATTGAGAACGTTCAGATGATGCTAAATATTTTTGTCGATGAAATCGTTTTTCTAATTCCTATATGAATATTAAATAGAAAACAATTTATAGCATTTTGAATTAGACAAAAAAAAAAATATTTTATTTACAAGAATTTGTAAACGAGTAAATGATGTTCGAGGTTTTTTTCTTTTTGGCGGTGTTCGATTTTGATATGGATGACCTAAACGTCGTTGATTATGGAATACTTAAAAATGAGAATACATCAATCTATTCAATTTTGCGTGACTGTTCTCATAAAAATGTCAATAGAAATTAACTTACAGGAAAAACGATCTTTTAGTACACTATCTGTTTGTATCCATGGATAAGTTCCATTAACAATGGGTAATAAAGAATAATCTTGATTACGATAAATTGATGAAGCTCTCATTAATTGTTCATAATTTGATAAATGATTATTACTTTCATTTATTGGTATTGTTGATGAAATTGAAGAAGATTCAATTTGTCGATCTTGTTGATATTCATTTGAAGATGTTGCCAATTCTGATGTTGTAGATAAAGATGATGATGTTGTTGGTGATACAGATAACGTAACAGGTTGAGAAAGAATATCAGATATATTAAAACCAAGTTTCTTACTCATTTGTAGAGATTATATGAATGAATGAATGATTAAATGAATAAAAATATTTTTAGACGTCAAATGATCCGTTTGTCATTTAGTTTATTAAAAACTCGTTCGAGCAAATCATCTTTCTCTTGATATTACTGTCGCGTTCTTTGTTGTGCATCTATCTATCTATCCAAGATTTGGCTCTTTTTCTCTTTTCTCGCTCTCTTTCGTTTTTTTTTTTGTTGCTCTCTTCTTTTTATCGATGCCCATTAAAACGATCTGTTTCTGCTCAATGTAAAGATAGCACAATTCTTTCTTCGTTTTTTTCCTTCTTCTCTATATTTCTGTCTGGCAAATTTGAGCTGAAACAACAATCAGAAATTGCACGCGATGATATGTTTAATGTAATTGATTCTTCTCTTATTCTCATTCGTCGAATGTGATTGTCTTTTCTTCTTCTTCTTCTTCTATTTCTCAACAAACCAATTGACTGATCGTTTTCCATTGAGAAAGATTCATCTTATTTGCTTTGCTTGTCTATCGTTTATATGGATAATTTTTTTTTCTCTTTAGCCAATAATATTTTCTCTATGTAAAAATATAAACAGAATTAGAAAATCTTGCAATAATCACATTGATTGGATATTATAATAAGACGAACGACTGTTGACGACACGTTTACATACTGATAAGAAGTTGATGATATTTAGATAGGAAAAAAAAAAGAAAACGAGAAGAGGTGCTGAGTGAAAGATTTTCGCTTGTGTATATATCTGGATAATGTCGATCAACCAGACAAATTACATCAGTTAACCAATAAATAGGTGTATTAATAGAATTTTTTCTTTTTTTTTAGTTTTTTTTGACTAATTTATTTATTGAAGTTTATATGTTTATATCAAAACAAAAAATAACACAGTCTTTAGTTGAGTATTTGTATTAATTTGTAATTTATACTTTAATTTTGATTGTTGTATCATTTATTGTTTGTGAAAACATACGTTTACAATAAAGAGGTTCAATACCATGTTGACAGTAATAACCTTCTTGTAATGCATGTCTTAGAGGAAGAACAAAACCAGATAATGTGAGTGATATACCAATTATCAGTAGAATATATGGAAAAATATTATCAAGTAAAAATTTCGATGAGTTTGATTTTAATTTTAAATAACATAAAGCTGGTAAAATATAAGCAAGAGGTGATGCAACCAATAGTCCCTAAAATTATGATTATATTTTAGATGAAGGAAGAGAATTTTTCTTTCCAAAAAAAAAATTGAATCTAATTTGATTTGATATTGAAACTAAAGACAATTGAACTTTTGAATATATATTGAAAATTTTCTTAAGTAATCTACAGTTTGATTTTTTATTTATTAAATAGACCTGAACTTAGAAAAAGTTATACTTTTTATTCTTGAGATCGAAGCTAAAGAGTCGACATATCTTGAGCGACAAAAGTTTTGCATTATTTTTTGTTTAACTTTATTTGCAAACATAATAAAACGTTGATCTCTTCTTCTCTGCAAACGATGCGCCATTGAATGTTCTATTCAAATCGCACGATTAAATTTTTATAGCTATCTTAAAAATTTTATTAGACAATTGAAACACTGCAATAAAACTTTTTTTTTGCTGTATTGCCTTCAAATAATACATCGTCTAAGAATAGTCAGCTCGACGCACAAATCGATAGATTAAAGTTCTTCCACTGTTGAAAGAAATAATAAAACGAATTAAGCTTAACAATACAATACAATGAGAACTTGGTTTCAATTGAAGATGATGAAAATACATTTAGGAGAAATCAGTATTGATTTTATAGAAAGTATTGATTTTTTACGATGTATGGAACAGTTCATATTATCTAACATTGATTTGATTAAAAATGATCGTAGTTGTCAATGACTAAAATGGACTTTTCTAATTTTTTTCTTTTCAAAGATAAAAAAGCAATAAAGATTTAATCTTGTGATTTGAGTAGAACATTCAATTGCACATCTTTTGAAAAAAGAATACTAATATTTAATCATGTTCCTGAACAGGGTTAAATGTAAAACAAAGAATGTCGAAAAAGCTTTCACTTGACCCAATATTCATTGATACGGATCAATACAATAGAATAGTTCAGTTCTTCAGGTTGATATTGGAAAATAACCTCAAATAACAAGTGAAATTATGAAAGAGAACATTATTAGATTAAAATTTAGAAAATTTCTTGAAAATATACTTTCGAGAAACTAAAGATTGATCAGTCTTCTAAGTTTACTAAATATTATTATGTTAAGTTCATATTAGTTGACAAGAAAATGAAAATAAAAATCACTTACATTGAGTTCAAGAACAATACCAAGACAATCTGTACTTAATGATAATATCACACTTGCAGTAACAATTAAAATTGTAATTATATAATGACTACGATCTGAACTTAAATTTATCCATTTACTACAAACAATTTCTGCTACCTACAATAAACAAAACAAGGTCAATATTAATTTCTATATAAAATATACTTGACGACAAACAAGACATTCCAATGGAAAGGTCAGCATTATATTTATAGCATAAATAAGTCGCGCAATATTAATAAGTGTATCCCAATGACAATAATTTTCCAAAAGATCACCTTTTAATTGTTTTATAAAAGATAATAAATAAATAGAAAATATGAAAATTCATTCTAACTACCTTCAGTTTGTTCACCAAATACAATATAACCTGTAAGAGCATATATAACAGCAAAACAAAATGCAATTATTGCTGTTATTAATGTAACCATTCGCCATCGTGAAAGAGTTTTTTCATTCATTGAATGATATATCAAAAATGAATTATGTTGGCACATAAATGCAAATCTATGTATTGACAAAAAACAAGAAAAAGATACAAGAAATTTTCTTTCTTCTTACGCCATTACACCAATACTTTCAGCTATATTTGTATTTACAGGACGAAGATTACGAACTTCTGGTGATCTAGAAATCGAAGTTGAAATCAACCAAATAAAATTTTCTTGTTTTTTTTTTTTTTAAAT